AGGTTGCATCATGGTTTAATTATAAAGTTATCGAGTGCTGTTTCGATACAGAAATATTGAAGCCCTATCATGCAGTAAAACGGTGTATGCAATAGTTATTTCAGTAGATGGTTAGCGCAAGTGTGTCAGTGTGTCGGGACGTCTCGGGGACAATTTCAGCTCGTTGCCGATGTCAGCACGTTGGGGCGCAGAGACCACGAATACAATGTTGCCCTAAATATGTCCCTTCTGCTCACAAGAACGCTGTTTTTAGGCCAACGGATAGAAATATACGCAATAGAACTCTTGTCGTCGTTATATAATGTCAAACGTCGTTTTGCAAAACAAGCATATTATTACTTAGACTACAGAATTAATTTGGATTTAAGTCTGATTGACATTTTACATATTATAAGACTGATATTAATACCAAGATATGTATGTTAATACTAATGTATTCAAAATGGCATACGATTATTTTAAAGATTTTCCTTGTGGCTTGTATGCCTATCGCAATGATTTCTCTCAAAATATTGTTGATTCATAAAATGAAGAATTGCTTTTTTCGTTCGTGTTTATTTAGGTCACACGTGCTATAAATAAATAATATTTTTTGGTTTATATGCATCGAGTTTTATATGTAGATAACATATGCGTTGTGATAATAAAAATACATATTTTAAAGTTCTAATGGCTATGTAATCATAGCGCCAAATATCTGTATTCTGTAGCGATACAAACATTTATGAATCTGAACTGGTCATATTCATTACTTTCAATGTTATGAGCTCAGTCAATAAATAATATCGGGTTCATCATCAGTTAATAGTACAATCAATCAAGTCTAATGTCTCCGTTTTATTGTACAGTTAAAACCCCTCTCGATAAATTCTTACTGAAACAAATGTACAATGTACCTACGTATTTCCCATAAATAGACCGTTGCAGTGCACGCAACAAAAGTAATATAACTTATTTTTGTTGTGTGTGAATGTTTATTTTTTTTAAGAAATCGTAGTATCTGTTCGCGATATGATTGCCATTAATTACGCCTTGTATGGATGAGAAAATTACCTCGTTATTACATTACGAACGATATTGCACTGTGCACCTTATGCAATATTTTTGCGTGTGCGATATGAAATTGTGCTGTAGCTAATCAACCTTTGTTGTGTTATTGTGAGTTGTCATAGGTCAGGTACTTGCAACATCGTAAGATAAGATTTGGTATACGTATGACTGATTAGATACTATTATATCGAATCTTATTATCATTCGGTTTAAATTCAAAATACGATGACGTTACTTTTGGCTGATCCTTTGTTTGTGTTGTGCATATTCTATTAGTATTTACAACCTACATAGCTCATAAAAATTTCCGGATTGTCTGTGGAAACAGGTATTTTCTTGGAAGCGACACACGGTAGAGTTGTTACAGCAGGATTAGTCACACTACTAAAACAGATTTTGCATTCGAGAGCAACGAACTTTGTGTGTATTGGAAAATATAGTACATCTATGTCTCGTCAAAAAATCGTGACGAGTGAATACGATTGCGGCAGTATTGATTTGTTGGTATCGATAAGAATTACTTGTAGCTCGTTTAAAATATTATTTGAAGTCTTCCTGTTAGGAGGGGCTGTTGATGTTAATGCATCGAGATAAGTTTTGAAATAATAACTAAAGTTGTGACGCAAGAAATCGCTAATTTAATGTATATTTATACAATGAGGACTGAAGCTACCTACATTTATATTCAATGTTTAATATTCCGCATTATCGCAACAATAGTCAAATTAAAATTGATACAGTGCGTTGTGCTTGTTACCAAAACCGATACGCGTTTATAATTGTGAATCATATATTGATCGTTCTCCTTAATGTGTGTATTTTTCTTCCACCATTAGGCATATCAGCAGCGTAGGTAACTGCGAGATGACCTTATTTACAGAAGCATACATACGACAAGGTTATCTCCCCCAGCCCTGCTGCTTTTTATTTGACTTTAAACGGCTATTGTTGATTCTCGTAATTTCAAGCTTAACGTAATTCCTCTATTTATAAACACTTGTACGAGTTAAAGAAAAATTATATTAAATATCCTCATTGCATGTGAACTGGGTACATTTTAATGATGCAATTCGTCATTTTTTTTGATAATCTCCGAGCGTTAATTCGAGAGAGCAATACATGAACGATGTTAATGATGCGTCGGAACCGGTAACGACGAATGTACTATGTACCTGTACATAATAAAAACTTGTACTGAGGCGCGGGTACTGGCCGTTTTGAACATCGATCCTGACCAGGCCATTATTTATTTCAAAAGCGCAAGATGATAATAGGAACGTATATATTATTTTATGTCGTACGTGAAGCGCGCGAGCTGACTGCACCGTTCGTTTTTTGGCAACCGATTCGCTTCGTTTCTGGGAAAGATTACATTCGGGACCTAAGTACCTGATTGTTTTTCGGTCACTAACCCTGCAACGGCAACCTTATTTTATAATAACAGGTTATAATTTAATTTCGAAATTTGGGACAATCTTTACGGGCTAACGGTCTTACAGCACGATTCCTTTTCGCACTGAGCCACACCCAAACATTATTCCTGCAACCAAAATGACTAATATTCAAGTTAAATCTTGCTGTCTATACTAATATTATAAAGCTGAAGAGTTTGTTTGTTTGTTTGAACGCGCTAATCTCAGGAACTACTGGTCCGATTTGAAAAATTCTTTCAGTGTTAGATAGCCCATTTATCGAGGAAGGCTATAGGCTATATATCATCACACTAAGAGCAATAGGAGCGGAGCACCAATGAAGAATGTTGCAAAAACGGGGAAAATTAAATCCTTTTAAAAGACGCAGACGAAGTTGCGCGAGTCAGCTAGTATAATATAACATGAGAAATATTTTGTGCTAATGTGCTTCTCGACGCAATAATTTCAAGCAATCAACGAGTTTGTTGCTTATCCCTTAACGTTGCAACAGTAGCTTGTACGGAGCGATCGTTGACAGCGGCAATTCCTCATATGATAATTTGTTGTCGCGGGTTCAACGGCCCTCAATTAGCCTCCGAGCCCTAGCCCTATTGAGATAAATGATGCGGTCTTCTGTGTGCAAGCCTCCATCTCAATTTGCATAATGGCCATCTCCGCCCACCCGATTATATAAATATTAATATTTACTATATCATTAAGTCACCGATAATAATATTTCTTTGAAATAATTCCGTGTTGCTATTTTATTGTGGGACGTGTGTTGCTGGCTGTTACGTTTGACTGAATGGTTTCAACGGAGTGGTGCTCCGAGTGGAAAGTATAATCATTTTTTTTATGTGTGCTGTAATAGATTCTTGTACTTAGCCGTAATATCATTTATTTATATCGCGAGAGCAGGCAACGTGAGATTAATTGCTTTGCTTGTTACTTATTTGCTTGCAGTTTACATCCAATGCATAAGCCTCGTTATAATGACATAAGTAAACAAAAAAATGTACAAAATAAATTACCCTGGAGAAGGCTATCAATATTTTGCTGTTTAAAACGCTGTTCCTTTCTATACAAAATATTTATTTCTTTGAGGCTTTGCCCAGTTTTCACATCGAGTAAATCTTTTTCCATACCTTAGTAAGGTTTCCAAAGGGATTTTAATACCAATCTAGTGTACATCTGAAATAAAATAAATGAAATTAAATTGCGCTTTGATACATAGAAACGATATTCCATTAATCATCAAACCACTCGCAAATTAATATCCATATAAACTATAAAATGTGCATTAAGATAAATATTAGATTAGAATCTATCGTTAAATTATAGTTCATCAAATCTAAGAAGTACTGTTTACATTTATACGTTTCATACTTTTCTAACCGAAACAACTTTGTATAGGCGTAACTCACACGATTGAAATAACCTTGGAAACGAAATAGAATTGGATAGTATAATAAACAAAAAAAAAAATAGATAAAATCATTGTCTTTGCCTCAAGCTTGTCGTAAATCGTGTAAAATTTTAAAGCTCAATTGGTGTAGAACTTTTTGAATTTTTGAAGAGTCCACAAACCAACTTAACATTTTTATATATATAAATATATAGATTTCAATTTTTATTTTCTTCCTTGTACCATTTCATTAGGTTTTTATATACCACTAGTTTATGCCCTAGGCATCGCCCGTGTGTATGTCGGTTATCGCGGTAAAAAGTAGCCTATGTTACTTGCTGATAATGTGGCTTTCCATTGGTAAAAGAATTTTGAAAATCCGTTTTAGCTGTTTAAGCGTGAAATCTTAACAAACAAACAAACTCACTTGTACATTTATAATGTAAGTAAGTATGGATTACTAGCTGTACCTTGCCACCTACGAGCACTTAAGTGCTCGTAGCCTGCCACGCTTCGCTGTGGCGCATTATGGTTGTAAATAATTGTTTTTTTTTTTAAATTATTTTTTTAAAACCACGAGACGAGATATATATTTCTATCTATCTTTGTCTATCTATACTACGAGTATATTGAATAAAAACTACTTGCGCAGTGTGCACTACAAAACTAAACATTAATATAATAGACGAATATCAAGTTAAATGCTACAATAAAATATATTTTTTTCTGTACCTTAACGAGCTTGAGAATTACTTTGTTATTAATGTTTAATTCTAAATGTTACTTACGCCTAAACCACTAGTGTCATTAGATGTCATCATTTAGAGACAGCTGTTGTCGACTATTTTGATAAGTCTGGCTCTTAAAAGTTTTTGTTTAAAAATTATGAAACACATGTTTCGAGCCTCCCATAATATAATATATTAGGTAGAACTTGCACTCGAATGTAAACAAAACAGATTTTCACTTGTTTTTCTTTAGTTTTCTGAATTATTAACAATCCAGCATAGTATTCGTGCAATACAAGCCTAACCCTAAAGTTAGCTAGCTAAAGCAAATACAACCACTAGAACTATTGTGTATTGAATCTTTTACGATGATTTTATTATTAACCTATTTCTTGTTTTCAACAGCTATCACTATCGGCATCAGGGTGATTGGCCCTGCGCTAGGGTTCCTGCTTGGAGCTTTGTGCACCAGGGTCTATGTAGACCCCTTGTTGCAACCTGACTTTGACGCTAGCGATCCAAGATGGGTCGGCGCTTGGTGGTTGGGTAAGTTGCGATTAAAAGTTCAGATATAATATTAAAAAGACGTTTATATTTTATAATTATATTTCGCGATATTTCTAAAAATATCGCCACCTCGCTCCGAGTTAAACTCACGTATTATCAGTTTCTGTGTAACACAGCTATTAATAGAACTTCAAATATAAGATTTTTGCTGCTTAGTACATAATCTTAAATGTTTGATGGTTATAGTTACATACATACTTTATAAAAGACAGTCTTTTTTTAAAGTAAGATGATCCAATACAATAAATGAATAACAGCGCACCACCAAAAATTACACACTCGTACATTAATAAGTTAAATCAGTTGTATACCATGGACTTATCATCATGGCGCCCTTTAAAATCATGCTCACAATACACCCTCACAGGAAAAAAACTATTTGTGAAACACACAACTTTTTGTTGCGTGATGGAACTTTATGGTGTGTAGATACGAGACAACTTTTTTTAACACAAAATGTCTACAAGCTGCGTAGAGGGAGAGCCGGTTTTTTGTCGGGTAGTTTTGTTTCCTTGCGTCGGTGTTTTTTGTGATTTAAATGAATTACGTGACAAAAATACACCCTGCTCTCTGCTGATCTGTAGAGTGTAGTTTAAAGTCTTTAAAATTATTCCTAATAGTCTAATAAGCTTTTAAAGGATTTAGAAGTAATAGTAAGTAGTTAGAAGATAATTTAGAATCATGTTGTTTAGCGATTACGCGGGGTTTAAACGAATTGTAAGTGGCACACAGATTCTGAATGGGGTACTAGGTAGACTAGATTATATTTTTAATGATAAGCTAATAATGAAGGAACCTATTTATACTGTTTTGATAGAGATTCTAATCGTGGGACCTATATCTACCTCCCTGTGAGCTACATTTGTTCAAAAAAAACCCTAATATTTGCAGTGTTACATTGTGCTAACGCAAATGAAATTCGAGGGCTATTTAATTAAATTTTAATTCGATAGAAAAATGATAATAAAGATATAATGATCTAAGAGACGGCCCAGCCCAGGTCTTATCATACTAATACTGGCATTAGTGACTAGCAGTAAAACCTGGAAACAAAAGAAATGCTGCAGCGATTGAAACACCACGATGAAGGTGTGTCATTAGAACAGAATGGACGAGATATATCTACCAAGATGACTTCAACATTTTTTGTAAAGTTTAACACTTAAAGATTTTGCATGTCATGATATACATATGAAAATAGCAAAAAATTTAGATGAATATACACAACTTAAAATACTACGCCATCTATAGGACCATTTGAGCAGCTCGAGAACTCTTAGCTTTTTGTTAATGGGAGGATACGCATATAACTTGCGACATTAAAATCAATGAAATGCGCATCATTTGTTTTAATTGAACCAGTTATAGGTCTTTTTGAATTGTAAGCATTACGAGTCAGTCAGAATCGATTATTCGTAAGCTAGTTGCCTATTTCAATACAGCAAGGTCCTATAGAAGAGAATATTGCTTATAAGCAATAATTACAATAACTTCACATGTCTTACACACAACCGTCTGATCCTAAACTAGACAGAGCCTTTACTGAGCCAGACTGCTGAAATACATATTTATATATTTCTAAATACAATCTCTAAATAAAATAAATATTATAGATAAATAACACCCAGACACTGAATAAATGATCGTGCTCATCACATAGTATTTGTCCTGGGCGCGAATGGAACCCACGACCTCTGGCGTAGCAGTCATGGTCACTAACCACTAGACAAACAGGGCCGTCATCGTAAAAGAGGACGATGTATCATACTGTTCAAACATGTATCGAAAATTACCACTAACTAAAGTTTAAGTGGGTAGTCAAAGGTGACTTTAGTTTGCTTGTTGTTGCCGTACACAGTGGGACAGTGTAATATACGAATACCTAGTACAATCCGAACGTCGTTCAACGTCTTAACATGACAACTAAAGACATTTTAGACTACCCACTTCAACATGTTATGTGTTAGTTATAAAGAGTAAATAACTTTTATTATCAGATTAAAATTACTTTATCAATTAACTTAAAACAGTTGATTAGCTAAAATCTAAAAACGCGAATAAGCCCAATGTAAGGAATTTCTGCTAATTGACAAAATATTATCCATTACACACTGACATTGACACACTCTAAATGAGTTGACAGATTCTCAGTAGTCGTTTTCATTTGATTTTTCAGTTGCTTTTTAATTTTGCTTTTTAATTGTTACTCCAATTATTTAAATTAAAAATTTATGTTATGCCATTATCATTAATATATGCTCGAAAATGGCAGCACGATCCTCAAAAGGCCAAAGAGCCGCGGTTTGTGACTTCACATCAAATTAAAAAGAATATAATCTGCGTTCAAAGAGTTTATTACTTATATTTTATACGCTCTTAAAAATACTTCACGTATTTTTCAAATTTCTGCATGGCATTCGGTATATAAACAATTTAAAGAAAACAAATATTGTAATCATGGTATAGCTAAATTGCATACAGTAGAATTATCAAAATGCTGATAATATTATTAAATTATGGAAATCTTAAATGTACCTATTGCCGAACCGAAACCCGAATTTTATTGTTTTTATAATCGGTAATGAAAAACGAACGACTTTTGTGACAAATACTTTTTTGTTGTTGTGTACTTCATTTCCATAAACTACATATTTAGTTTATGGAAATGTGACAAAAATACTACGGTGAAAAAAACATTTCTTCATTACATATTCTGTATAAATTCTAACTGTTTAGTAGTCATAGTTTCTTAGGTATTTCGATTCAGAAGAAAACTGCCTAAAAATTAAATGACTAACAAGGTAAATAATTCGATTCGAAGCGCTCTTTTAATTTTAAATACGCCTCACAAATAAACCTATAAAATACTTATGAAAATACCTTTGGAAGGTCAAAAGGTTTTGAATTCTTGTTTAGTTTATAATTGAACTCGTGGAATCTTAAGCCATAAACCTAACTTTATTTAGCTTATTAGTTATGTTTAACTTTAATAGGCACCACAAGCAAAGAGGGTTTACCCGTAGTTAAAATTGAAGTGCCTCGTAATTCCCAACGAAACCGTCGTATGAGGTAACAGAATGGGCTAGGCAATTGTCCCACCTTGTCAGACAGAGCGGGCAGCGAGAAAGCACCCCTTCTCAATTCACTATGCTCGAGCGTGTGCGAGAGTGAATTGAGAAGCGGAGATCGAGCGTTTACTACAATAAGGTTTTTGAGTCTCTCCTTACGAACGAACCTCTTAAGTCATCAAAGAGTTGTTCAGTAGTGAACCTTTGTTCAGTAGTGTACAATAAGGTCATTAATTGATAGACAAAGGCTATAAACAAATTCAACCTACTTCTTAATAGTAATATACAAAACTGGATATGTAATCTTGTTGACAATATAATAATACTAGTGCCCGCCCAGTAGTCGATATTGAGAAATAATAATATAAAATATTTGAGAAAAACACATTGAAATTTACATTTTTCGAACTTTTGAGAACAACTATCAAAATAAATGAATCAGAACTTAAACAAAAAATGCTTTTGAAAACCATTTGGATTTTATTTTGTTATATTAATTTACATTCTTCTTTTGAAAATAGTAGGTATACATGTAGTTGAATTCAGACAACTAGATAATAATCTATGTTCGGACTTATTCGTTATAATTTTTTTTAAACATGATTTTGAACATTTACATTTAGGTATTCTTTAAAAAATAAAGTTAATAATCGCTTCTGACTATGACTACAAGACAGGAACCTCAATCCCACATTTTCTAATATAATTGAAAAAGACATACACAATAACTCGTATGGTTACTTTGCTTTCGTAAAAATATGTCCATAAATTCAGATATATATGATTTCTTAAGTTTAATATATCCTAGAGTTGATAAAATACAGTCTGTCTTTGCTTTGTATATGGATATGTCAAAGACCTTTGACTACGTGGATCATAGTGTACCACTGAGTAAGCTTGAAACGTATGGTGTTATTAGCAACACCTTGGACTTACTAAACTCTTACATCAGTAATAGCACTCAGATATATGAAATAAATTAAGTCCAAGAGTAGAAAAATAAAATATGGAGTTCTACAAGGTAGTGTTTTGGGCCCACAACTTTTTCTTATCTATATCAATGACCTGCCAAAATCTACTACAGATCGTATGGTACTATTTGCTGATGACTGCACTGTTGAATACATGTTGTGTTGTAAAATAGTATAAATAATAGTTTAAATTAAATAATTCAATGGCTACAAAATAATAATTTATTAATTAATGTCGATAAAACTAAATTAATGCAATTTAAACAAAAAGCAAAAAAGCACTTTACGTAATCTAATATAATTTAACGGTGAAAAAGTTGAGTGGACGACTACAACAAAATTTCTAGTCGTACACATAGATAACAATTTGAAATGGCAAAGTTATATAGAGTTTGTTTGCAAAAAAGTGTCATAGTAATTTTATAGTTTATACATGCTAGTAATACTTACTGTGCCATCATTATATATTTTTGAAATGGCATTGTTTATTAGAAATCATCTGTCACTGTTTACATTGGAGCTTAAATCGCGAAATATAAGTCACTTGTATAATCTGTCACTATAGAACTACCCTCTTTGAGTGTGTTTGCTATGTCCACAAAGATCTACAATAAGATTCCTAATGATATAATAGAATGTGGCAACATTTATGTCTTTAAAAATGAATTGTTTCAAACTCTTACAGAAAATTGCTATTACTCTGTTGATGAATTTTTATCGACTAGATTTTTTTAAATCTTTTATGTAAATGTTTAATGTTGGCTATAATTAAATGTTGTTGACTTTCTTGTGTCTGTCATGGCCAATAATAATAATAATAGAATTTATATATAATCTTCAATGAATTTTTTTTCAAATGATCAGAATTTTAATAAAAAAATTAGTATAATATAATGTTAAATAATAATAATAATAATATTTTAATTAAAATATTTAATCA